GTGACAGGATCGAGAGGTGAGCGAACCCGTTATGTGTTCGCTCACCTCCCGATCTACTGAGCCGACCTGTGACAGTCTCATTGTCACAGGTCGGCTAGAACTATGAGGTGAGTGAAAAGCACTCACCTCATAGTTCTCCTTTAAGTAAAAAACAACATGTTTAAGGCAGCCATGAACTATACAGGGAAACTAAAATTGTTTTGGATAAATTATTATCAGAGCACTGTGGGTTTTCTAAAGATAGAGTATAGCAGAAGCAGTTTTCTACCCTGTCTCTAATTGATATGTCAGACAGAAACAAATGAAAAGAGCAAGCTGGAGAGGGAGTTTGGGACATCACTCTTTTACTTGTCGGCATACAGGCGGTCCCCGGGTTACATACAAGTTAGGGACTTTAGGTTTGTACTTAAGTTGAATTTGTATGTAAGTCGGAACAGGTACATTTTTTAAGTGTAACTCCAGCCAAAAAAACATTATTTCGTTCTGGATAGCATAGGGAAGGGTCACGTTTGTTTTGCTGTCTGTTCCCCTTGTTCAGAAGATTATAATATAATTAAAACATTTTTTTAATTTAAAATGACACCAAAAAAAGTTTTTTCGATTTTTTATCTTATTTTATAAACTTAATTTTTTTATTTGTTTGCATTTTTAATTTTTATTTATTTAACATTTCTTTGTCTTTTTAATTAATTTTTTTAAAACTTTTTTTAAAATTATTTTAATGCTGGGAGCCATATATCTGAATATAATGACTGACCAGGGATTTCCATCAATGGGTTTTTTCTTCCCTCATGGCATGCACATATTCCAAGATGACAATGCCAGGATTTGTCGTGTTCAAGTTGTGAAAGAGTGGTTAAGGGAGCATGAGACATGATTTTTACACATGGACTGGCCACCACAGAGTCCAGACCTTAACCCCATTGAGATCCTTTGGGATGTGCTGGAGAAGACTTTACGCATTGCTCCGACTCTCCCATCACTACAAGATCTTTGTGAAAAAGTAATGCAACTATGGACGAAAAATAAATGTTGTGACATTGCATAAGCTTACTGAAACAATGCCACAGCGAATGTGTGTCGTAATCAAAGCTAAAGACGGCCCAACGAAATATTAGAGTGTATGACTTTTTTTTGGCCAGGCAGTGTACTATTTAGCTTAAACAATTTAGCTCTGTAAATACCATGATTTTTATAACAAAGTAGCTAAGGAGTCCCTGGAATACTATGAAATAGGAGAAGAGTCCTCCATCTGTTGGCTGCATATCAAAATTCAAAATACGAATAGGCAATATTTCAAGACTGAGTAGCAAGAATTTTGTGGCCCTGAGCAGAATAATAACACATCAGACAATGTACCCCAACAACTATATATTTCCTTCCGTGTCTCGTTTTGTACTGTTTTTAGTTTTCTGACTTGTTAAGAAATGGCCATACAAAAGGCTAATATAATCAAAGAACTTACATTGTAGACAATCTGATGTTCCAGCAGAGAGATGAGAATAAATGCAGTTCGTGCAAGCTCATCATCATCACCCTAAAAAAGAAAGACATTTAACGAGTCAGCCCCTCTATAGTAATATATATCAGTTATAGAAACAAGATGGATGAGTCATTCCTCATATGTTTTAGGACTCTAGAGGTGAGATCTCCCTATGATAGTTTGCCTATGGCAAGCACTAGTAATGGCTGCTTTTTGAAAAAGCTCTCTGTACAAGTGTCCCAAGGAGCAACCCTGCAGCAAATAGAGCCCAGTTATAACCTCTGATACCAGCGGAGACTGCAGATGAAAGCCAGCAGAAATGCACAAGAGAAGGAGAAGCAGGATGGGCCCGCAGAAGCACTGCCGCAAGCTTGTCAAAATGGTGCCAGATCTGCAGCTGGCAGATCTCCATGCCCAGATACCTCTTCTCACAGCAACATCATTGGCAACTTGGATGTCTACCAGCACAGTCAAGAATCCCTGGGCCACCCTGCTTCTACTAGTGAGTGCCCCATGACTCCCTGACTGTACGCAGCCCTACTAATTACAAACAGAAAATGGGGGAAACACTCATAGGCATCACACTATGCACTAGACCGCATCTTACAAACCGGGACTGAGCATATCTCTGTAATAAATCAGTATGTGTTACATGCAAATTTGAAAGACATGCTTACACCCCTCAGGTACACACTACATCAGGATATAAATTCAATTATTGCAAAAACTGACCTATCTATTCAGGACAAACATATTACTCATTCGTGCATCCCAACTTTCTAAGATGAGAAAGAGGGACACTTTTTATTGTCTCGCCCAAATACTCTCTATCGGCACCGATACTAGTATCGGTATCGTGCATCCCTATAAAATAGGTTTAGTCACACACAATGTGGTCCTCATAGTCATAAACCTGGTTTCCTCTCTCCCAGACATCCAGGAAACTCTTAAATGATTCAGCAAAGTTTCTTATTATAAAGTCAATAGCTCTAAATCTCAAATCATGGGCCTCAGTATTACATCAACACAAAAATGTTCCTTACAATTTAAATATCCCTACCCCTGAGAACCTAGGGCCCTTGCGTGCCTGGTAGTCCTCATCCCTACTGACCTATCCTAAATAGACAAAAGTAAAGTTCTTTGAGTACTGAGTACTATCTCACAAAATATAGAATTACATTATTTAAAAAGCTCAAGCTACTCAAACTATCGTACATATTTTGAACACTTTACCTAAACCCTACTTTCACTTATTCCAGAAATATATTAGCAGTTTATTTGGAAACATCACAAACCTAGATGTAGCTCAAATATCTTCACCAGATGAAAAATTCTGGGTGGCTGGGGCCTTCCCAGCATATACAACTATCATCATACATCTGTATTAGACCAGATCAAATATGTAGGTCTAGAAAATTATATATGGGAGGGATCAAAATACGTTACTACTTGCATTACAAGGTGGAGCCTCCATACCCAAGAGCAAATTTCTCAATGCGCTAGCTACACTAGAGATCTGAAAATGATCAGACATCACCCCCCTTACCCCTTCCTGCCACACTCTTATGCAAATGATTGCTACCAATCCAACACTTATAAATTAAATTCCCCAACTTAGTCTGAGACCCTCGGTCGTGAATTGAATCTATACTATTAGCGAGCTGTATGAGGCAGAAAACTTGAAATGTTTCCATGACTAGGATTACTTGAATTACAACATTCCATGCTCACTGAAGATAGCGCTAGGTCTTACTTTCAGGGTAGGTCTTACTTTCGGGGAAACACGGTATATGTATCTCCAAATATTACATCTGTTATGCTTTAACCACAATCTCTGCTTTTGCCATATTAATGAGAAAATATAAACTTTTCTGACGGATTCTACCAAACATAGTAAAGGTGTTTCTTTCTACCATACCCTCATGTGTTCCACACATTTCACTAAATCCCAAACTATGTTGAAATTGGGATAAGAAATAGGCAGTTTTCAGAAACCCAGTGGCAAAAAGCCCTACAGTCTACCTTTCAAGCTTCACTCTGCTCTTACCACTGGAAACGCCTTCAAATTTTTGATCACAAGTAGTATCTGACCACTTATCGATTGGCTATATGTTATATTCTGCATTTTCCTCTATGCTGGAGATGATGTGGGGATGTAGGGTCTCTCATCCACCTGCTCTGGTATCGCAGATCACTAAGATCCTTCTGGAATATGGTGTTGAAACTCATATCAGAAAGGGTAAAACTGTGAATTTTGCTTATTATACAAATGGCTTTATGGCTTTATTAGTCAGTCAACCTGCAGAGCTATCATAATCCACATATTCTTAGCAGCAGAATTAAATATTACTAGAGAATGGAGATCCACTACTCCCCCACCTTTTCTAGATATGGTTAGAGACCGTAACAACCAATTCATCATGTTTAAAAACAATACATTTAAGAAAGTCTTTATGTCTTGGAATACATGGCTGACCCTGTAAAGACCTGTTGCAACAGGCTGTCTGTAGCTCTGTGTCCCAAGTTGGTTGGCCTACCTCTCAGCGCACTTCCGCTGACTCAAGCAACCACGAGGCTCAGAGCTTCAGCTTTTACTCCTGAATCCCCATTGGCTGCTTCTCTTTCATTGAGGGAAATTTACCCATGACGTCTTGTTGCCAGGCAACACCCTCCCACTGTCCCACTGACTATGTTCCTGCCATGATACCACTTTATGCCATCTTCTGCGACAACTGTACTTCTTATATCACAGGTACTGCTTGTTTTTCATTGCTCAGCCTCCTGTTTTGTCTGGCCCGTGAACATAGCACTGTGTATAAATCCTGGAGACAATCAAATGCTGGCAGGCTTGCTTGCCCTAAGGGAATAAGGGGCTGACATAGTTGAAGCTACACTCAGCATAACTCAGAGTCAGTCAGTGCAAACTGTACATGCACGGGAGCAGCATTGGATGGTGCAAAAGTGCGCAGATATAGCAATAGTCAGTGGAAACGTGCACAGGCATTACAATGGACCTTAGACAAATGTGCAGATGCAGTGTCTGTTTGTCATTGGCAGTGAAGCAATGCCAAGCTGCAGTGGTTTGGTGTAAGGGTGTCAGTGGTTACTTGTGGTGCTGGGTCTCTCCAAAGTGACATCATCATGGCATAAATACTATGCAAGCAATATCAAGTGGATTGGTCCATGTATATTATCCCTGCTTATAGCCAGTATCATGTCCTTCAAATGATTGTTTATGCATCTAAAATTAAATGTCTTAGGGGTGACTTCAGAGTTTGTGTCTTGAGTCAGGCAATGTATTTTTACCTTCCATAAGGAGCTGAAATCTACTAACAGAATATTATATCATTATTGCGGGCAGGAAGGAGTTACAAAATACCTGTGATGACTGAAATATGGAGACAGTTGCCACCGACTTCTACTCCAAATAAGCCTAGTGCCTTCTTTGATGTTAATCTATTGGTTTCAACACTTTATGACTTGGAAAAAATAAAATCTAAAATCTATAATCTAAAAGTTCTAAATCATGGTTCCATACTTATTCCTTATCAATAAATAGTAATTAAAAGACACCAGAGACAGCCAGGCAACTGGTTAAGGTCAGCCATGAGGCCCTTCCTATGTACCCATACAGGTTTCCTTTAACAAATACATTTTTAAAATTAATTATATATTCTGCAGTTACAAAGTATCTAAACATGGAAAAAGAATTAGAGATTTATACAAAATATGAATTTATGAATAAACACTGTCAATATATCAGTGTAACAGATCTGAACTACTTACATCAAGTTCATGGTCAAAGTAGGACTCAGCAGTTTTAAAACATCCATTGGGCAACTGTGTAGTATCCAGCCAGTGGATAGCTTCCTGAATGATCTTCTCGTCTACGTGGATAAACTGCTGGGCACAACTAAGAGCCCTAATTACCAAGGCTGTGATCCTGCAAGAGAATAATGGTTAAAGAGAGGTTCTATTTAAAAATAAAATAATTTTCAAGCAGTTACAATTTTCATAGCCAGCCCTTGGTTTGCCAGGCCCCCCTATACTATATTGCAAAGGTGTGACATCTACTTTTTGGGATATTTTAATATATGTTTCTCAATGATTGTAATATTTCTTTTCATTCCATATAGTACCAATGATAATGTCCTTATTTCCTGCATATCTAATTAACAACAAGGCCACATCTATTTATTGTTTAAAAAGTCTGACTACCACTATGACATTAGGTTGGAATGGCATACACAGGCCCAGGTGCTAAGAAAAAAAATGTGCATTGTAGAAGTGAAATGAATTAGAACCAGATTGATTAGAAGCGATGTGTGTCTGAACATTTGCTGGTTCCCCCATGTTGCCTTTCTCTCCCACCTCATCCCAATTTGTTACAAACTACAGACTGCATATACTGTAATTGCATTGCAGAAGCAGACTGATTTCTATTCTGAGTGCACTGGAACTAGACACATGCTCTCAATGCACTCAATCAGTGCCATAATTTTACCATTAACATTTATCACTGTTGCTGTATTTGCTATTTGCCTGCTGTATATTTTCACCTAGATGTGCGCTATTCCTACTTTTTCCTACCCAGTATGCTGTAAAAACAGCGTGTTGTTATCATATGACCTCACATGTAGGCAAGGAGTAGTTAAGTGGGGTCAGTCGGGTAGAGAAAAATGTCTGTGAAGGTTCTCATTTATCGAGTTCATGTTATAGACGGAAATTAATCACATTCAACTTAACTTGTTTTCTAATGCCGATGATGTCTCACCACTAATCCCTAATAATCACTAATAATAGCTTCCCAATTTCAGATGAGTGTTGGGAACATAACATGCTGGGTAGGTTGGATTTAAAGCCATGGAAACCATTTGGATGAGTTGTAAAATGATGTCAACATTACAAAACAAGAGGGACAGAATGTATTAGTAAAACTGAAAGGTATAGGGACAAGGCTAGTAGATGTGGGGCTTGTTTGTGGGGGTAAAACAACATGGAATGAAGACTATAAGATCCAAAGGCTTTCTTGAAAATTGACCAACAGATCTTTTTTTGTTTTCAGAAAGATTTCTGAAAGAAAATTGATATAAGCAGCCTATTCTGTCAATATATATGAGTATCGTTCAGAGCAAAGTGGTAATATTTCTCTGGAAAGTTTACTAACAAAGTAAACTTGAGTGTTTAAATGAAATGCAATTAGTTTAATTTATTGGTGTATTGGTGTATGAAATGCTGTAAAAAAGTAACAACATTACATGTGTTTTATTCAAAACCACAATGGCTAGGCAATTGATTTCCTTTGCATGTGTATAAGTTAATCCCGTTATTATCTTTCACATTTGCTCTCATACACTTTTATCATTTGTTCCTTTAGTGGTTAACAACTCTGATATCACTGTGTGGTAAGTATTGTCCCAAAAAAAAAGCCACGTGCGGTAATTATTCTGTACCTGTCCTGTCCTATGGTCCCGCATTGCAAGACTGAGAAATAAAAACTGTATCCTAGAATTCAACAAATGTACAATTCTAAACCAACATTGGCTATTTAAAAAAAATCATAATGCAATATTGATATCCAATGTAATATAAAATCATAATGGATTACATTGACTATAATAAATATTATAATTTATATCAGATATATAGTAGATGCAAACACAATTGGGAACAGTTCTTATAAGGGGGCAAAAATGTATGTATTTTAGTAACATACTGCATGTACACTGCTTTACAATTGGTGAATGATACCCCCCAACTTAAAAAAAAAGAACAAAATAAAACTGCGGTCATTAGTTGGCCAATGAATACATACCATAGATTAGAAGGAGCACCAGAAAAGGCAGCAAAACTGCCATTGTCATTTCTAAATGTTAGTTGTTTTTGGTAACCTGCAGAGAGGAAGTGATATACTTATAATCTATGCTATACAAAACCTTGTGTTGACTTTCAAATCATACATAATACAGCTCTCTATGCAGTCATTATTACTCAAACATATTCCTCCTTACATCACAAAACTGTAAATTAGAGGACATGTAACCCCGCAAAAAAATTTGGTTTGCTTCTTATTGATTTGGATTTTTATTGCTTTCATTTTTCGGATTTCAGATCCGAAACTCAATTTGGTTCATTATTCGGATTTCATATCTATTCGAATGTTCATTTCAGAAAGATCCACAACAGGAAGTCGCATGACCGTGCCTGTAATGCAACCCCCAACAGCCAAAAAAAAATCTGATTGGCCAGAGAACAGTCACATGTCCCATTCAGTTTACTTTTGAACGAAAATCAGACACATCCAAATTTTCGTTGAAAGATCATTCAGATTAGTTTGCATTCGGACAGGTTCGAGTTCTGAAATTGGGATGCATGTGAATTGAATGAAATTTGTACAAATATCCAGGAAATTTACATGTCTGTTGAAAATCTCTTTATATTTAAGGCCACACCCATAAACTGTCCAGTTCTTCTAGATCCTGCAAATATTTTATACAAGTTTGTTTTTGCAAACTTCACTATTCTGTCTTCCAAATTTTGCTACTATGGAGATGGTTTATTCAAAAAAATTTTTTTTTAAATGCAACATTAATAAGAGGAATTGTTACTCATAGTATTCATTAGGGGGACCCTGTCATCAACTTAATAAATACAGGTAAAAGCAGATAATAAATTATGTATTTGATATGCTTACATGCAGTGATTTTTGTTTTGTTATTCCCTTGCATTGTGCCTTTGAACTTGCTAGAAAATTTGAGTACTTCAAGAAGAATCATTCCCTAGCACAACCCTCTCCCTTCTTGCACATCATAGCCCTCTTCTTTTCTGGGAATATCTAATTATTCTCCATGCTGGCCCAGCTCCTCCATCTCTCCCTTCACCTCCCTACAGGAGTAAAGGGGAATATTATAGCATGTCCCTGGAGTGACAGCTCTGAGTCTGCTGGGGCTGCTGATTTGGTGCCGATGTGCACCATGACAACGGGGTCATGCCCAACCCCATCTAGTAATCTGTCAAACATCACATCTAAAACAACGAACCCAGCAGAAGTCTCAGGAATTTTGGAACTCTACACATGGGAGGCTTTTACATGCAAATACCCTGTCTACAAAATGTTGAATACACTTAATCGTATTAGACAAATTTGTTGAAATTAATGACAGGGTCGCTTTAAAACATCTGAGCGATCACTATTTGATTGTTAAATTCAATTTTTTTTCTTTTTGGATTGTTTTTGCTGTTTTATTTTTATAAATCACCCCAAAGTATTCTAATTGTTTTCTTGCTTCTCACACATACATTCAGGAGAAATCATTGAGGATCTATCCATAGAACATGGGCCCTAAGTTACAAACGTTGAGGTGGTGACTATGGTTCATAACCTGTTATATGGATTGCTTCTATCTAATAATTGTCACCCAGTAGCTTTTGGGTAGCAGGGAATATAGTAGGCAGATATCACATTTGGCTGTCATCCTCTGTAACACCATATCATAAGTTCCTTACTGATATTACTATTGCTATGCCAGGGCATGAGCTCCTGTGTCTTCCTCACAAGCCCCCTATGTAATAGCACATTGGAGATGACAGGTTCTCTTTAAGGTGACAATAGGGGTCTATTAGCTGGGGAATGACAGCTGCTTGCTGAGGCAGCTGAATGAAAACAGAGCAGGCAGTGGCTGGGAGCAATAGCCAACCTGCTATTGGTTATTGCAATTTAAAATAGCCAATTGCAGGCTGGCTATTGCTTCCGGCTGCTGGATGGAAGACTTGTCACCGGCTTTCTACCACCAATTACAAATCTCCCATCCAGCAGAAGAGGTGGCACAGGTGAGGCCCAGCGGCTAGCAGCGGTCTCTCCTCCTCACTGAGCACTAGCTGCAGCGCTGTGTCCCCTCTAATCCCTGCTGCCTCTGCTGATACAGGCGGGGATCGAAGGGAACACAGACCACAGCATACAGCGGGCTCCCAGCTGAGAAGAGATTGGGGGAGCAGAGCTGAGGCAGGGGTGGAGGAGGCTGGCAAAAGCCCAGGTGCCAGGACATAATTTCTAGTCGCCATGGCAACCTGGCGTCTGGGATTTGTTGCATCCTGATTTATGTCATTTTATGAAGAATGGAATAGGAGGAACTGGATCAACTTTTGGTGGACTAGCTACATTTTTCAGTTTTAGTTAGGAACATTCTAATTGTTGTATACCTATAGAGGAGATTGTCCTTACAGTACCTGTTTAGACCACATCTTAACATCCATGAAGTGAGGATAAATCTTCCAAACATGAAGCATAAGCATCAATAAGAACCTCCAAAGGGTTCTATCCCTTCTCTACTACAATATAACACATTTTTCTATTCATGCTTGTGTCTCTGCTGATAGTCTTACAAAATTTCCTGTCCCTAGGTCAAAGACTGGAAGTTCAGGGAAATTATCTTAAGTGTTCACAACCTCAACCACTCCGCTCAACCACAGCTAAAAAGCAAAAACAAAATCCTGGGCTGTGGTTGGGTCACTACTTGGTTTGTCTGACACCACTGAAAAACAGAGGGTGGAAAGAAATCTTTCACGTGGATCCACAGACAACACTAAAAAGAAGTAGATTCTAACCCTTCTCCAATATAACTCAAACATTTTGGCAGGCGCTGGTCTTTGACTCGGGTTTCCCCAGGTTACTGAAGACCTACCTTCCACTGTGTTAAGCCCACACATCATCATAACAAGTGCCCCCAGCTCCTGCCATAGCCAAACTTATTATTATACAAATGTTCACTAGAAATTTTGTGAAGCTTGGTGTATAATAAGAATTGCCTAAATATACTTCAGTTATGTCTGTCTGTCTGCATGTGTTTGTCAGTGTCTGTCCATTACTTTCTCCTAAAAACAATGTTTACAAAATGTGAATGTTTGTCATTCTGCTTCAGTCAGTAGGCAGCTGAACACATCATTGTGTTCCACTAAGCTATGCACACGATACTTTTCGAGTACCAATGCCGATACTTGGCATTTTTATGAGAACTATCAGGGTTGCAGCTGAGACCGCGCTCTGTTGCTCCACCACTGTCCTGAAATCATGAGTCTGTATTGTTTTAGAAAAACTGTCACATGACAATAACCAAAAATGTATCAGTACTCGTACTTGTAAGTACTTGGGCATGTAGTGGTACTTGTACTCACAAAACTGGTATCGGTGCATCCCTTTATTTATATTTATAAAAACAAAATCATACATTAAAACAGAGATGTACAAATCCCAGGAGCTCTGTGTGCTCCTTACAAATGACAGCTGCCTCCTAACTTTTGAATTTTTCTCTAGTCTACTCTTGGAGCTCGAAAAGTATCAGTACATGTACTTGTACAGAGTACTGCACTTGGTATCGGTGCATCCCCAATGCACAGTAATTTATATAAATAGCGCAGTAATAAAAGCAGAGGCCAATTCTGAATTCTGTGATCATCAGATAAGGTAAAGACTGAGAAAAAAAATAAAATGACTGTAGATTCTGGTTTATATAATATGTAAAGTATAACGTTCAGTCTTCTGACAACTGCAGCCAATGTAACCACTGCTCCTTTGCCACGTGACCTGACTGTAAACAACCATATATTTGAATGCTGTGAATTTTGGATATCCTTGACATTTACCTGTTTATCCATATTACGAGCCATAAAAGAGGGATAAAGACAACTGCAATGTGTACAGTCTCTATGAAGAGGTTTTATTTGACTTTCCAGCGTTCTGATGTCCTTGTCAGTTAGTTCTTTTTTTCTCAAGCCCAACTTACCTTTCACCATGTGCTCCAAAAACTTTTCTTTGGTTTCAGGTTTGAGTTCATTGGAACTCTGCAAATATACTAGGGAAGAGCAATATCTAGAAAGCTTTGACACGCTCTGCTCCCCACATCCATCTGGTAAAGGAAGTATATTCTCCAAATTAACAACGATGTGGCCCATGATGTCACCTGCCAAAATAGGATTGTAATAGTTAGAAAAAAAAAGTTAAATGTCTTTTTAAAATAACATGACAGTATCCAGTTCTCACCTATAACAATGATGTGGGCACGTTCAGTTCCTGGGACCAGCTGGTCTGGAGTATTTAAGGTAAATGCTACTTTTTTGATGGTATCTGGCATAAAAATAAGAAAGCAGGATGGGGTGAACAAATGAAACAAAATGGAACACTAGGAGATACATTTTGAAGGCAGAGTGGTTTCTTTTGGCTGAAAAGTTTAGAACACATCTAGAAAAGAACAAGATAAGAGATGAGGATGAAGGTGCATAATAGCATTTTTTGTAGTTTAATTGTACCTTTTCCTAGACATCAAAAAAGGAACAACTGAGGAGGAAATGAGGACAGAGGAATTTGGTTCCAAATGAGGAACGGTTGGAAGGAATGTGAGCTGTATATGTGAACCTCAGTATACATTTGAAAATAATATCCTCGGCAGGCAGAAGAGCTTTATTGCAAAAAGAAACGTAAAGCCTGTCAGCAATGTTTCATAAAAAGTTTTAGTTGTGCTAAAGGCTCTCTCACCTGAAAAGAGCATTTTCATTGTCATAATATGGCAGTCCTATGATGCCTAAGGAACTACAGAGAAAGGGAACCTTGGTTCAGGAAACTAGTATCACTCACATAATAGATCTCATGGGTGAAATTTTTTTGAGAATTCTCAAATGTTCTGTGGTCACAGAGGGATAACCCAGTGGCATATCTGTGTTTGCCCAATATGCAACACATAGCACACAAACAGGAAAGATTTTCACAGTCTAGTTGTGCAGAAAGGAAAGATCATTTTATATATATATATATAAATAAATACATTATCTTAAGTACCCTCTATCTTTCCTTTACCTGCCGGGCATACAAGATGTGTCTCCGTGGTTTGCTCTTCATATCCCCTGGCCTGAAAGGCAATAGAAAACATAAATACAAGGCCGATATCATACCTCCCAACTTTCTGAGATGAGAAAGGAGGACACTTTTTGGCACAAAGTATGTAGAAAAGTATGTGCCCTCAATAACATGGACCATTGGGGATATTTTCCATGTTCCTGTCTCAGTGACAGACCATGCAATGAAAAATAAAACTTTTGGCTGGAGCTCTAAACAGTTAGTATGCAATTGGTCTCCTCCTAAAAAATGCTAGATGCCCCTCTGTGGCCTCAGCACTCTGAGTCACTTACACTATTATAGAATCTATAGTAGGGAATTGGTTCCCTCTAGCAACAAGGAAATCCCAAGTTGGAACTGATTAAATTAGTAATATATTAACATACAAGTATTTATCAACCATATTTTAATTGAATAGAAAAAGTATAAACATATAAATCACACAGAAGGGACATTTAGGCAATACTTTAGATCCTGACTCATCAAGGTTCAAGCCGGCAAGCTCAATCCGCTCAGTGGGGTTGTTTTGCTATGCCAACCACAAGCCTCTGGTTCGGCGGATAATTCAAATAGCTGTACAGGGAAGCTCCATCCACGCTATCCCTGACGCGTTTCCCCCCAACGAGTGGGGCTTCTTCAGAGGGGCGTGAGTTACTCCTTTGAGCATAGGTGATTTATAACTAGTCAATTAATTCAATCAGCATTTCATTGGAAATTGCGTGTTACACTTATATGCCGCAAATAGCGTTAATATCATTTCATAGAAAAGGAAAAATATATCCAGATCGCCACACAGAGTGATCACTGTCTCAATTGTACATAGATATGTGCAAATATATAATAAGACTGTATATAAATCATAGAAAAATCTAGAGTCTTTAGTATATATAGAAATAATTTAAAATATAAATGGCTTAAAGCCGTATACATGCAAGTTCGGTTTTTGTACTGATTGGCCACAGTATACACTCTTATAGTGAAAATAACAGGTCAATTAGTATGGGGATCCATTAGAGCACTGCTGGCAATGCCTTGTTGCTAGAGGGAACCAATTTTCTACTATAATGTTTATGGAAACCCTGGAGCTGTTAATACTCTATTTGACACTGTGAGCAACCCCCTTCCCTAGTATATAGAATATATATTATAGAATCTACCAGTCTAGGAATGTTCCCCTGAAATATGGCAATAAATAAAACTACTCTTTAATTCTCAGCATTTCAGTTAACCTTTGTGTTGAGTCCTCACCTTCACCACTATGGTCTTCTCAACAGAGTCCTCTCTATGCTCCCTTGTTATCAGAAAAGGGTCTTCTTTGCAGTCCCCTTCAACCTCAAGAGATCCACTATCTACATGAATCTTGATTTTGTCTGAAAAATAAAATACAATGGCTTTAGCATACAGCCAGATCCCTCGTTATTAAAATGCAAATGTCTTAATTACATTTTTAAATGAATGACTATTACAATGAGAAAGCACCACTGAATATTGGTTTGTTTTCTAGTTAGAAGTGATACTGACCATGGCCATAACTAAAGCTACATCAAATCATGTGAATGCCATGGGGCTCAGCAACATAAGATGTACAGTACAGTCTGGCTGCTTACATTTATTTTCATGTTAACAATATCGTTTGACAACTTCTTTAAAAGAAAATGTACGAATGTATAAAAAGTGTGCTGGGACCCCTTTTGAACTGTCGTGTGTGCTCCTCTGCCTTTTCGTTTTTGCAAGTTTAAATAGATGTGGGCGGATGGCATATTTGATTTCGGATTTGGTGAAGGCACACAGCTGCCTTGTGAAGGTAACGTCTGGGCCTCTGGTGTGTGGCTATAGAGTATATGTCCCACAGATGGGAAACTTTGTGTAGATAATATATAGATAGTATATAGTTAGGAACAACACTTATTGGGGTCATGTCTTGATGCAATGTGGGTTCCCCCATGCGTTTGTTGATGTAGATTAGATTGTTCTTGTTGCTGGCTAGCCTAGAGCTGTAGATTGCACCTTTTGCGCCCGAGGCAAGAACAGAAAATTGTGTCCTCCCTCTTACCCTCCGGAGTGGCAATGGCAAAGCTCCAGTTCTGTAGAACTTCAAGAATTTATATGCCAAAAATTATTTTTGGGGGCACAGATGTGACAAAATCACATTACAAATTTCATGTGAGCATGTGGGGATCTGTATAGGAGCCTCCCGTTATCAGTCACCGCTCTCCCCTTAGTCACGCTGCCAGTCCTGGTGGCGCCTTCCGCCCCCTTCAGTACTGCCCTGACCCTGACTTAACACCCAGCTGGTTGCTAGGAGACGGGAGGATGTTGAGGAGAGCGGAGTGGTGAGCGCTGTGGTGGAAGGGCAGCGGTAGCAGTGAGTGCCTTTTCTGGCCGTTTCATGCAAGCTGACGGACCGGAGAGGGTTCTGCATATAGGTGGAGGCGTGTTGGTGGGGAATGCCCATAATCATTGGACCGAGTGAGGGATGGCGGATAGTGCTGAGTGTTTACTAGTCACAGAGTGTTTATAATAGCGCTACTAAACAGGAGAGTTCGGTGCTGTGTTCACTGAATACGGGTCCGACCCTGGCTGCGCCCCCTCGCAGCTGCGCCTGAGGCAAGTGCCTCACTTGCCTCACCCTTCCTACGGCCGTGGTCTAGCCTGAAAGTGTGCTGGAGACCCCTTTTGTAAAATTATAGATAAACAGTTAATGTGTTTTGCTATTTTCCTATTTCCCCAGGAATCAGGGAGTGCTCTGAAGCATTAGGCCCCTTTCATACGGAGTTCCAATCAGGTCCGCCTGTCAGTTTTTCAGGGAAACCTGATCGGAAGCTCATTGTTAGTCTATAGGCCTGCAGATGTCAATAGGCCTGCGTCCATTTACATCCGATTACCTCGGAGTCTGTCAAGGTCCAAAAAAAAAACCAAATAGAGTTCCATTTTGGCAGACCTGAATGTGACATAGAAGGTAATCAGATGTAAATGGACACGTGTCTGCTTACTTCCAATTGCCTCTAGACCTGACATGGGTCCGGATAGTACTGATGCGTGACGTTCGTACTTCTCCGATCAGCAAGGGATCTGTGCATGGATCCCCTGGTGGTCAGAATGGATACTGCCTTTCTGATCATGTGTAAAGGGCCTTAGGAATTATGTTTTAAACACTCTATTTTGATATCCATGCATACAGTACCTGAATGAGACCAAAAGGAAAAGAAGTATTGTAACAAATTTGAACACTACCTAGTTTGGAAGCTGTGGCATCCCAGCTGAAATGGCTGACATGACCATTACAGACACATCGGGCTTGATCTTTGCTTTGGACTGTATGGATACCATCGATATCAGAGAGGGACACTGCCACCTGTAAGAATGAGATAACATTTTAGAAAGACTTGTGGATTTATCTAATTTAATAGTTCAGAAAGCAGCACAAAAATTAACTTTCTTTTCTTTTCCTACTGCGTGCTGCTAAAACTGAATTCCAAACACTACACACCACTGTTCTCTGACTGTACTTTTAAATAAACCCAAAGTGTCATTATCCTATAATACAAATACTGTTATAACTGCACTCTTATAAAGCACCTTATTACATTAAAGTGTATGTAAAAGCCAAAATATTTTTTAATATGTGGATAGGTTAGAGCCTCTATTTGTATTCCTCATTGAGCTCCCATCTCTTGGACCTGGTGACCATTCTTTCCAGTATATGATGAGAAATCCATTTTTTTTGTCACAGGAACAGGAAGTGAGGGAAAAAGTTTCAATGGGTAAACCTGTCCTAGTGACAACTGTCTTTGATCTCCTCACTTTGGAGAGCTCTCCTCCCACTTCGTGCTCTCTCTACTCTGGAATGGGAAGTGAAGAGAAAACTCTAACCTTTGCAGGGGGAAGAGGCACCACTCGTAAGGGTATATCTTTCTTTAAAGTACAGCTTTAAATTGATCATTTGATGTTTGCCAAAATTCTGGACTGAGGCTAATCAAGTACCTCTAAAATATTAAGTGCACGAGTACAAATCTGTATATTTGCTTGTTGCCTTTACTGCCAACTTGGTAAAGAACTGGCTACCAAAAATATTCCTAAGTATTATGAAAACACATTACCACACAGGAGCTTATACCAGGCTTACTTCCACTTAATTGTGACTCCCTGGATCACTTTTATATTACTAATATTTGGCTTCAAGCCATACAAGGAATTCAAGCTTGGCTGTCCAGAAGGTGGCTGTCCAGAAGGTGGCGTGGTACTGCCCAGGGGAGGAATTCAAGCCATACAAGGAATTCAAGCTTGGCTTGGCTTGAATTCCTTGTATGGCTTAGAAAGAGGCACCGGCCTCGAAACGCGTAGCCAACCATTGGACAGTTGCCTGCCAGCCCCTCACTGACGTCACACTGTCATCCCATGGAGCTTCCCATTGACAGATAGACCCAGTGAGCCGCGGCTGCAGTGACAGTGCTACATCGGCATCCTCCGCCGCTCTCTCACTGATTCGAGCAGGCTCAGCCTGGCCAGCTGAGCTCTGCCGTTTCTCCCTATGGTACATCCCACAGTTACCATCCACCCCAGACTGATTTGTTTGAGTGAGCATTATTGTCCACTACTTCCCCCGAACCCCCCCCCCCCCCCCCCCTGGGCGGAACC